TTTTTTTTTTTTTTTTTTTTTTTTTTTTTTTTTGACTACGTCAGCCTGTCAAATTGTAAAACTATGAACTTTCAGAAGCGTTCCAGTGTGCAGCTTTGGTTATAGAGTAGGCATTTTTTGTTTATAGCAATAAATCATAAGCTTCTCAAAGACTGTTAATGTTTATGATGATGTAGATTAGTTGTAGTTTGAATTCTACTCATAAAGGTAAATAATAATTGTTGGGTAAAGAAATAACAGCTGGCGAGAGAAGATAGGTGCATTATTAGTTGTCAGCTGAACCTTTTATTAGTGACCATTAGATATTAAACCTTCTTTTTTCATTTAAGAAATTGTAGTCTCTAACTACTTGGACTTTTCTTAAAACGTCTAAATCAGGGCGTATTTTACGTTATTCGAAATATATTCAATTTATAATGAAGATTTTTTCAAAAGTAACTGAAGTAAAATGTGACTTTTATGGTTTTTTAAAGACTTGAACTTCTCAATTCACAAAGCTTCTTTTGATCAAAGAAGGTTAACAACTTTTTTCCAATTTGATTGGTTGATATACACGTGATGTTTTGTCGGGACCTTTTTTCTGTTTGTATTAGATTTTTGTAAGTGGTTTATATCTGTAGTTAGTGTTTGACTGTGTTGGTCCTTTCATTTGGTAATGATTTTTTCATCTTTTTATTTCTTTCTTTTTATTTGATCATAATTGAAATCGAACACAACGTTTTAAAAAGCTTTGGCTATCATGCCTAAATGTGGTTATGTTACTTCAGAAAATGCCAATTGTGTTTGCTACGAAGAGAAGACGATTTAACAAAATTTACACTGTTAACATTTGAATCCTTAATTGGAAAGGAAATAACTCTGCTATGGTACGCTAATCAACGTGATTTCTGAGGTCATATATAAGTTTTTTTCTGTTTAAATTCTTCTTTCAAGTATTGAGCACTCATTTTTTTCTTCATCTGTATATCGTGCTTGTTGCTGTGTATTTACTAATTAAAGTTTCTAGTTTATTTCTTGCTAGATAATCAAATGCTGTTTCCGAGACTCTGTTTAAGACATCGGAACTGAGTCTAAACTTTAACGGTTTGAGAGGACTTGTAACATCTACATCCTGTGCATTAATCATTTTTGATCGTGGTCTTACTACTTTAACTCAGTTCAGTACCCAGTGGTTTGAAGATTCAAAGCAATCCAGTGTTTTTGATCTAAAATGTGATTGAAACTAGCAAGATTTTCCCTCATACAAGCAATCTGCACAATTTACATGCTTCACTGCAATTATTAGCGCAATATTTCCGCCACTCTGTCGAAAGAAGTGTTCTGTAGTCGCAATTATGCTGAGATTTTAGTTGTTCTTGAAGAAGTTTCCTTTTTAGTTGTGAAGGCTGTTAGTTTGATCATAACGTGTTAATCAGTAATATTTGATTTTTCAGGCCAATGTAATGGTACGGTCGTCATCTGCTGTGGAGGAAAAAACTGTTGAAGGAAGTGTAATTAATACGGCAACTCTAAAGCTTTTACTTATTATAAGTTTATATTACCCGTTGTCAATTGGTCTTACTTTTTACCAGAAAGCATTTTTAAATGTAAGTTATACGTAATTTTCCAGAGTTCTTAAGAAATTGGTTTTATATTTGTAAAATTAAGTAATTTTAGGTTTTTATTTGACAGAAACTGTATACGGGCAAAATTTCTTTTTATTTTACGGTTTTTTTTCACTTTTTAGGTTTATGGACTACCTTTATTTGTGGTTGCCGGTCACTACCTGTTTAAATATTTTTTGGCTTCAATTCTACGTTGTTTTCTTGAATGCTTCTGCGGTCGAAGAAGCCGAATTTCACTAAAGGAACAACTGCGATGGCTAACTCCTATTGGTATTTGTGCGTCGCTGGATATAGGTATGAAGGATTTTTATAGATTTAAGTAGTAATTAATTTCTTGGTTAACAAAATTAACATTTTTTGTTTTGTTCTTGTGCCATACACGTTTATTGAGTGGAGAGTGTGAATTTAGGCCTTTCAAACTGGGGACTGGAGTATGTTACTGTAAGTTTGTATACGATGGGTAAATCTACAAGTATTTTGTTCATTGTTGCTTTCTCACTTCTTTTTCATTTGGAAAGATGGCGAGCTAGTCTTGGATTTGCTACTGGCTGCATTGCTTTTGGCCTGTTTTTATTTACATGGAGGTGATGTTTTTTAAATGAGTGTTGATTGAATTTTTTTATTTTTATACGCTTGACGGCTTTCTCTGTTTTAAAAAGGAAATAGTTTTTTTATGTTTAACTGCTTTGTCGTTTCGCAAGATCAATTTCTTGGGCTTAGTCAAAAAGCGACTTCTAGCTTATTTTTCTAATTTTACTTCAAATTCCTCTCTTCTATAGGGCTTCGCAGTTCGACCCTCTTGGCTTTTTTTTAATAGAATTAGCATCTGCTTGCACGGGAGTTCGTTGGACCGTTTCTCAAATGGTAATGCAGCGTGAAGATCAAACCTTACGGAACCCCATTGATATGATAGTACACGTGCAGCCGTGGATGCTCCTTGCTATAGTTCCCCTGGTATATATTTTTGAAGGTGTGTCTTCGCTTATAATGAGTTTTGTAAAAAAAAATGAACGTAGCTGTTTTTTGGTTTTAGAATTTTAAAAAAGGTGATTTTTAAAATGTTATCTTTGTATTCTTTTGAATTTTATCATTTTCAGGATCTAAAATTTCTTTTACGAGGCTGTTTAGCTGTGGAGAAACTTTTGCTCCAGTAGAAGTCTTTATTTTTATTGCTATCGGGGGTCTTCTCGCGTTCGCGATGGAAATGTCTGGTCAGTATTCATGGTGCTACGCCGAGAAAAGATTGTCAATTCGTTCCCTTTTATTTTTTTTTAATTATGTATTTTTTTGTCAGGAGTCTTTGATTCTTTACACTAAAAATTTAATACTTAATTTTGAATTTTGCAGAGTATCTCCTGTTAGTTACTACATCCGGAATAACCTTGAATATATTTGGAATTATAAAGGTTTGATTAATGTTTAGTGTTTTCTTGATAAGTCAGTACTTTATTTAGTTTAGAACTGTCAGGAATTGTTTCCAGGAAGTCGTAACTCTTCTTTTGGCACACATAATAAATGACGACCGGCTAAGCGTGGTTTGTTCTTTTTAGAAATCTTTGTTATTGTTCATAGAACTTTATTAGATTAACATAATTGCTGTGGATGCCAGGGGGGTTTTTAATGTGTATTAAAGGCAATTGGTGTATTTCTTTAATTAAAACGGACTCGTTTAGAAGCTAAGTCATCTTGAGAAGTTTTTTTGATGTTCACTCTTTTTTTTTGGAGAACATACTGTTTGGGAAAAATTTTGCTCAAATTTAACTTTTTTCCAAAGCAGTTGGTTGCGGATTATATGTAGGTTTCAAGAAAGAAGTGACCTGAAAAGTTCATCAATTTAATTTAAAAGCAGAAAAAGTAAACTCTTCTTGGTTTTTTGAAAAACGCTCAAATTAAGGCGGGTAAATTTGTCTCAACGTTTTTGAACTCCAAAAATATCCTTTTATGCTCATTGGATCCTGCAGTAAGTTTACTTTTCGTTGACCATTGAGGTTTACTTTTGAAGTGAGAGTTTCTTGAAGAGGATTAAAAGCAAAATTTGTAGTGCTTAACCATTGTTTGAGCAAGTCTGAATAGACGGTAGTTGAAGTGAAATTGGTGGAATTGAACATTGGTTTCTGTAGTTTTGTTTTGCCAGCTTTTGTGTTCTAGAATATTCAGAAGGTTATGCTTTTTTTTGTTGGTCATATTAAAATGGTTATTTTACCGACAAACAGCGATGTGGCTGACTGCGTACGGGTCCGTGTTGTCAGTGATTTATCACCTTTTATAAATACTATATTTTAGTAGTTCTTTCTCTCTGAGCTGAACTAGGGTTGGAAGACCTGTTTGAAACCCAATTTTTGAATGAATTTTTTTGATTAAAAAAAAGTTGCAGCATTTCTAAAAAAAAAAAAACATTCTTTACCGAACAGTGGCAAAAAAATTGTGCTGGATGGGGAAGGTTTTCTTCGTTGCGTTTTTTGACTTTGTGCCATGTTTTGGAGTCTTCTTGCTTTTAAAGTTTTTTTTCGTTGGAAGTTAGTTAGTAAATTCTCTTTTTTCAGTTTTTGGTTCAAAGGTTTATGATACTTTTATATACATGGCGATGAACTACGTATGTAACTTATTAAGAGCAGCTTAGGAAGTGTTTTTTAGGAGAGATTGGTAAGGGTTGGAAAAATTGGACTGATTTGAAATTTGCTTTGTTTGTTGAGTTCAGTGAGTACTCAGAGCAGTGGTTTTCAGCCACTTTTCCAGTAAAGTGCATTTTTTTATAGTTAGCTTATGGATTTGTACGCATTGTTTGTTTCGCATCACTTCGTTCTAAGACTTTCACTTCAAATCGTGGTATTTATTTTTTCCACTGATGATTCACTTTTTTTCTAAAATTTTTCATGGTCTAAACTTATTACTTTAGACTTACCAAAACCGCTAGCAACGCTTTATATATGAATTGCGGTCGCTTTAAGTTATTACTATAGTAAGAACTGAACATAGAACACTGGGTTGGAAATGCGACTGCTTGCAAATTGAGGACTGCTAGTCTAACGCTTTTTTGAAGTTAAATTTTGTATGAAGTACGGTAGCTCTAAGTTTAGGTCAGGATGAAGATCGTTTTTACTTGTGATTACCAGAGAGAACAAAAGTCTTATTGAAAGAGGAATATTTGTTGAGAACGAACGTATTGAGAAATAGCAGTAATTTTTTAATGCTTCTGATTTGTTTTGACACACATATATAAATGCATAGCGGGTTTGCGACAGTTTGAGGATGTCGAGTTTATACTACAGGCTACTGTTGTCTAGTTGACACCGCGCCAACGTTTTATTGAACTGACTGCTTTGAAAATGCAGCTTCGTTTTTTTAATTTGGGGATAGGGTATTCAATTCTGTAAATTTTACAGTATCACTGTCCCACCATAATGTTACTAATTCACAAAAATTTTTCTTGTTCTAGGCGCTTGGAAACTGTCTGTGGTTATGAAATTGTGAATTTTTTAAGATGGTGTGGGTATTAATTTAAATATTTTTTTAAACTTGTTAAAATGCTAAGGTGTCAGTATGTTTTAAGCCTCGTTTGAAGAAACAAATGAACTTCATTTTATTGTTGAGACTACGTTGCAAAATTTAAGTCTAGGTGACAGCTCCCGCCTGTGTTTAAGTTTTTCATAACAGGTTCAGTTTGATCCAAATGAAGCGTGCAAATAATTTATGCTATAAAGAAATGAATCATGGGGGAGTGTTTGAATATATAAAAATAGAAAACATTTTGGTTAAATATTTGCGTGTATAAGATTGCCTGTTATGGTTGAATGAAATTTTTTTGAAAGGCCTACTGTTTAGCAGCTGAAAGGTTGATTGCTACCTGTTAGGCTTGGGCGTTTTGTGTTTTCTACTGAAGACTGTTGTAAGATTCAGATACGGAGGTTTTCATGTAAGTGAGAATTAGCAGGTCATTTTTTGGGGTTGGGTAGCCATTTAAAGGGCACAGGCTCTTGGGTTTTACTTTTTTTTATTCAATTTTTCGTTTTCTGAATGCTTTAACATATGCTAGCCAATTTGCAGATTAATTTGTTTGGACTTTTCCTTTGCTTAAGCGGAATGTCACTTCACGCCTTGTCGAAGCAAAAGAAGTTTAAAGTTCGAAGTGCGTTAGATTCTGGAGATCGCAAAAGCCTTCTAGAAGATACTGATGCCTGACTTCTGCAGAATTTTCGTTATCTTTTGTTTGCGTACTGTTTTTTATTTATGTGTTCTGCTAACCGTTGCTCGAAATTGTTGGAAAATTGACGAGGTATCGTTAATTGTTGTTCGTACTTGTAGATTAAGGATAGCTGTTCAGATATTTTCTAGGATAACCGTCTCTTTGTTTTATTTCTGTTTTCATTGCTTTTGATCTAGTCGTCTTCCAAAAGTACTTCTTTACAAATTTATTTTCACCTTGGATTAGTGCAAATTATTGGTACTTCTGTTGTTTTAATTTTTCGGTTGTTCAAATTGTTGTTTTTTACAGTCTATCTTACTACTTTTGTCTTAATTTCCGTTTGCATTATATCACTTCAGTTCCTCTTCCGTCAAACAGCTATTGTTAGGATGAGTTTTTTTTGTGCCGTTTTTTAATATTGTGCTACAAACTTCTTTCTTTTGGACTCCATTTTTAGAGCTGTTTGTAAATATTGTATATTTTCTCTGTATATTTCTTTTGGATCACTTTTGTTTTGAAATCGAAGGAGATTTACAAAATTTAATAAAAAGACTTACTGAAAAACACGTATTAGTAGTATTTATTCAAATTTGTATTTAGTTCCTTCTTAAAAACTGCTGCTGTCTGATAAAACTGAACTGTCTAAAGCTTTAGATTTAGAAACATTGTTGCGTTTTGAGTCCCAAAGCTGATGAGGATGGTGTTAAATAGATGTAATTTAGTTTATCTGATGTTCTTTTTTTGTAACTGCTCGGTATGATATGTTGTTGTGATAGCTAATTTACCTCTATAGTTTGTGTTGTCTCTATCATAACGGTTTTTCGGACATGCATTTGTAGGAAATTCTGAAAATTACCGTTGTTGTCGTGTCTCTTGGGTATTCTTTATTCCAATAAATATTGATAAAATTATGCTGTGTTGTAAAAATCATTTAATACGCTAGCCGAACCTTTTTTTTCATATTTGTTAATTTTATCTAGTTGAACTACATCACTGTGGTTTCAACGTTTAATAAAAGGAAACCATTCATTAACCAGTCACTGTTAAGAATTTTAATTGACTTTCTGTCGGAAAAATTGCTGATTCTGAAAAACAATAATTTTTAGATGGGCAATAGAAGGCGGGATTGCTACAGAGATCGGTTAAGAGAATTGCTTATTGGTTTAACTAGAACTGTGGAGTGATAGAAGTGAAAAGAGCTATACTTTATTGTGTATTTTTGCAAATTTTGATAACCGGTGCAGTCGATGCAAAAATTTATTTCAAGGTTTTGTGTTGCAGTGCTGAATAGTACTTAGCAAATTTTTGGTTGAGAAAATCTTCATTTTTAATCTTTTTCCGACATC